ACAAGAAACGTCTATCATCGTCTCGCTAGAGATGGTCAGTAAATCGAATTATGATACGTATCTCGTCATTTTAATGCGAAAACAGATTGATCTTCTCAGGAACAAATATTTAAAAAAGTGATTTAATATTTTTTTTATATAATCATATTTTATTTTATTTTAATCCAAAATAATAAACGAAGAACAAAAAGTGAAAGAACTTAAGAATATTGTAGTTAATATTGTTTGTTTCTCTTTCGTTAACATTTAAAAAGAATAAACGTATGTACGCCAATATTCCTGAAGAAGTTAAAGCGAGACGGGAAAAATAATGCGAAATCAGGCTTTTTTCTGTCGCAGTAAAATGACAAAAACGGCACGTGTACTTTTTTACAATCCTGTTGTTCTGTTATTCGCGTACTTTGCATTGTCAGTATTAATTTTAGCAGCTTTGCATATGAATGCCAAAAAAAGCGTTTTATAAGATTTGCGGTGAACCGTGTCGTCATCGCGGTATCCTTATCAAGTCATATCGCCTTTTCGAATTTCCAACAAGATTCTGCTGACTAATATCCGATAGATTATTCAGACAATAATTCGTGTGGCAGAAAGTTCTATTTTTAATTCTATATGTAATACGACTGTAAAACGAGAAACATTTGAACAGTCAGAATACACACGTATATAAAAAACAGGCCGTATAAAACTATAAATAAAATTTTATTCTGACAAATTATATAGATTCGTCTGAAGCGAGTTTAAATACACACTTAATGAAAAAAACAATTTTTAATTATATATTGCAATAAAGAAACTTCTTTATATTAATATATTACCCTTAAACACCGATATAAAATTGTTATGCCAAATATTTCATAAAAGATCATGACTATACGGCGAATATAACGCTGCGAGTGCTAATTATTATTTTTTTTTTTTTCTACTTGCGCTTGGTATTCGTATAAGCGCTATCGGCGGCCGAAATCAAGGGCGGAAGCTGTTAACGATAACTGCGGTCCTCCAGCATTGATGATATGATATTCAGGCATTATCGTAAATTGACGTAGAAGTTTTCATTCATCCAACAGACCCCGATGCGATGCATCTTTCGTGGACCCGGTAATCATCCGTTTTCCATAACCAGTTAGGTATACGAAAACGAGAGTGCTTCTGACCATGTATGAATTTTGTATCAACAGGATTTTTTATGTGTTCAAGCTAAAAAGTATTTCCTTAAAAGAATGCATCTAAAGGCACATGATTGAAAAATTTTGCACGTTTTTCTTTTCAACATTAAACAACTTGGCGATCTTTTTTTCTTGTAAATTAGTTTTTTGTACAGATAATTATAATTTTTCCAAGATAATTTATGTGTCAGCCGATCAAGAGAGATTTTCTTCGTTATTTCTCTCACGTAGACTTGCATGAAACTCTAGAGGATTTTCCCGCGTGGATAGCGGGAACAAATTGCGCGTTTAAGGATTAGAACGTCTTTCTCAGGATTGTATCTCGCGTTGCATCGCAAGACTTAGGATAACTAATGTCATGTCATTAGCGTACGCTTGATGGTTGACTTTTAGCGCGATTAACATGCGTTTCCCATACGTTTCCCCATGCGTAATACTGGATTTTCGTCATGTTTATTTATATTCTTAGCGATTATGATAGACGACCGTCTGCGTAGCGGTGAACCGCCGCCTGCATGCCGGATGGAAAACCGCAATTACCAATCATCATCTCTTAGATATACTAACCGGAAGCGGCGGCTTTATCCGATTTTACACGAGTCCGTGGAAACGCGTATGGCGTTTCGCAAAAGCCCCGGTAGTCGAGATCGCGATTGTAATTGAATAACGTGTTGGCGTACGGCCAAGTGAGAGTGATATCTCAGTGAAATCATCGATGACGACGACGACAGGAAGCCGTGAGACGCCGCCCGCGAATACGGCTTTCGGTTCTTCCTCATGTTCGGGTGAAGCAGACGCAGAAATAGAAAATGTAGTCGTTTTGTAGTTTTGTTGGATGTTCCGAAATAAGTGAACTCATACGCCAACCGTGCACCAAAAATTAAATAATTATAATATAATATAATATAAATTTGCAAGCCTGCCAGAAAATATTAAATAAACGATGTTTATCAAAATATACTATAAAATCGTCAACTACAATGCAGACAAATGTTTCTCATGAATTCTTTCAGATTTTTTAAAAATACTTCAAGGTAGGGAAAAATAGCGTCGAGCGTGACAGACCCACGTATACACTCCGAGGGTGCAAAAAAACGTATACAGACGGAGGATTAATAATACAGATTAATTATAGATTAATTTTAACAGATTAATTATAGATTAATTTAACAGATAACGAATAATTTAATGATAAGGAAAGGGCGGAATTTCTTTCATGACACATCGTCGAACTTATTTCCAAGATAAATTAATAAATTAAAGAATGCGGCAGATACGGGAGAAGAATGCGAACATTGAATAGACCGCTATAATAATTTCAAGAATTAATTTCGATTGGGACGCAGATGACCGACAAAGCTCGTCGGTTGACCCGTTAATTGTAGCTTGTCATCATGTTTTTATGTACGAATAGATCATTCATTGAATAGATATTCAATGTTAGATTCTTAGAATCTCTTTCCGTAACGTTAACTGTAACTATAAACCGCCGTTAATCAAGTCTACGTATGTGTTTCAGGTGATTACTAACGGTCTCAAGTGCGACTCGGACGACGTCGACGGTTTGACAAACGGTGAGTCACTAGAACTGTAACGCTCTCCCTTCTTTTTTTCCACTTCTTCCTAATTCATTCCTTCGCAAAGAGCCGCAATCAACGATGACGACCGCACGAGATTAGGTTCATCCGATACACTCGGCGGTACCTTGGTTTCATTGACGAAATCCCATCACATAAAGAAGTCACAATGAGATAATTCAGGACTGTACGAAAGTTTCGCGCGATCTTCCTTTTTAATATTTAATTTATATTAATTAAAAGGCACTGTGTGTTGAATTTACTTTGAGCGTTACTATCAATTTATTTGAAATATCCTTATTTGTCGAAGATTTGCATTAAATAATTATTGCATAATTGTTTCCTTATTAGGTTGGGAATAAATTCGAGTAAAGTATAAATTATTTAGAACCTATTTATTAATATATGTATATATAACTTGGAATTTTTTTTAATGAAGAACGCGTTAAGTAATGAAGTTTCGTCTGTAGACTTCTGTGATTGATTTCTTTTAATTACTTAAGCACGATGACTTTCACAATTTAATACGTGGTTCACACTGACTCTATGCTATTTTTACATCAGTGTTAAGTACTTTGTGAAACTAGTGTCTCTCTCTTTAGAAGAAGTCTTAACAGCGAAATGTGTGGGTTGCATATATCGAAAGAACGCGCAATTATTTATAAGGGAGAAACATCGTGACGTTCGTGCATTACTCATTATCGTTCTAATTGGAGCCTAATGTTCGAGACGTTTCACACTCGTTGAAAATTTACGATTCTGGTTTTTACAACTCCGGCTGTAATTTACAGTGCGATTTTCCTCTCGTAAATCAAGTGCGCCACGTATCGGCGTTTTTATTATATGACACGCTTATACGACACGCGTGTACCTAATTGCACCGCGTTAATTATGTTTTTATAATATTTCATAAAAATCACAGCTGTTCCATCGATAATTGCTTCGCTCAGAATACTGCTCCGATCGCGAACGTATTTCTTATTCCAAAATATTTCCATGTTACATTTATTTGGTCTTCGTGGATCAAAGGAGAATTATTTTTAACGAAAATATTTATTTCTCTCCGAATCTCAATACATTTTGTCTTTTTCTATTCATTTAATTCTAAGTTAAATTTTTATTGTTCAGAATTAAACGTAATTATGTTATTATACTGTGTCAGTGTGATATTTGTTTTACGTTAGGAACAAATTGTAATTGAAAACTAAAAAAGTATCGCAAACGTTAAAACCCGAATCTGAAAAAAAATTTCTTATCTTCTAAACATTATCGTATGAAAAGAAAATATCGAGTATTTCTATCTTCGCTTTATATTTCATAATTTACAGTAACATAGGCTTTTCACAATGCCTCTAATACATCATTTTTTTATAATTAATGAGTAATATTTTCAAAAAATTATTTATTAAACTTTTCCAAAAAATGTCTGATTGTAACCACTGCTCCAGAGACAACCACAAAGTCAAATGTGTCAAAGACAGATGCGTGTTAATCTGTCTACAAATTATCCTGTCGTACATCTAAACTCCCGGGATTATTTGGGGCACAGGACACGGCCCCGGGGATAACTCGCGCTTTATATAACACACGATTTTCTCGGATAAGATAATACGGAACCGGGCCGAGGGTTTCATTGAAGATTCTCGAGATGCCGCGGAGGAGAAAGCGCATTTTTTCTCATGACGTAACCACCGTCGTCCTCGTCCTCGTCCTCGACGAGGGTTGCGACGGCCCTGACTTTGCCCTTCGGTCACTATCATTCCGGGCGAGTGCGAGCGTACGAGAGAGCGCCGCCGCGTGTGTCTGCAACGCTGATGATCCCGGCCGCATTTTCTCACGCTACTTCAGCTGCTCCTTGCCGGCGCGGTGCAATGATCTCCCTTCCGCGGCCGCACATCTGCCTGAAAATTATGTTCCGAGGCTGATGGCTTATACGCGCGCGTCTCATCTCCCCTTTCGTCCCGTCTCTCGTCTCTCCGGTACGCGACTCGTTAATTCCGCCGCGTCATCCTCGAACAGGACACTCCCCGACTCCTCTCGGTCCCGAGATTAATCCCTTCGGACACACTTCGGAAGGTTTGAATGACCCCGCACCGTATAATTTTCTTATCGCATGCACATCGTTCGCGTAATGCCGACAAGCTTCATTTAATTTTCAAGTAATATAAATCGCGTGAATAAAATTATTCCCCGGTTTCGAGATTCGAATAAATAACAAAGTGTCACTTATTATTTAATTTCAAATTTGAGATTTAGCCGCTGTGCAACTTTCGACTTTAACGAACGAAGGAGAAACGTGCCGTTCGTTTTAAATTACGGACGCTGTAATAGCAATGTCTCGCGAATATTATTCAAGGATAGTGATTATAGAGAAACTTCTTCATTATTTATTTTATAACAGGCTTTTTTCGTTGGATATTTTTTTCTACTTTTATCTTTTATTCGTCACAGTCTTTTTGTGAATTATTATGTCAACTTGAAAGTGTGTCCGCGTGTTAATTCATTAATTGTCGCGCAGCGCTTTTATTGGTATAGGCTCGTTTTTTTTCGTTGCGGAGCTTTGTTTAACATGAAAACCAATTGCGTGTAGCGATAAAAGTTAGGTAAGCTCGCGGTGAAAGTAGGAAGGAGGAAGAGAACAGGAGGATACAACGAATCTCGCGGATTCGTATCGCGTCGCGGATTATTAGATCATTATATCATCTTTGATTTAGTCCGCGGTCGAAACTACGTAACGTAGCACGCGATCGAAAGCGCCCGCGTTGTTGACGGGTCTAATATAATCTTTCTCCACCAGGATTCAAGGATAACAGTAATTGACGCTGCGCGATGCGCGATACGCGTATAGTTTCGTAATTAGATTTTAATTGTTAATGAATAATTAGCGATTATACCGTAACTGCGATTACGGCCTTAATGATTACGACTTCGACCGCCGCTGCCGCGCGGTTTCTCTCGAGTTTAGAGCCCCTTCGAAATCTATTAAACGAGCTCATTTAACGAGAGAAGCCATTTTTTGTAATAGGTTTTTAAGATCCTCGTTTAATCGCTCTCTATTGTCGTTTATCATCTCGCCTTTTTCAATACTCGTTATTGCATTTTTTTCTTACCGAGTTATTTACGCGATTTAAATTTTACTAAATAATTTATGACGAAATAACAGAAACGACATCGTTTATTTAAACTCATATAGTGGATTTATTCTCTTACAGAAATTTAATACTGTAAGTGATTATTTGGCTAGTTAATTACTTATTTTGAATGTTATTGTAAAAGCATTAAAAACAGTGCTTTTAATACTAAAAATAAGTAATTAATTACTAGCCAGATAATCACTTACAGTATTAAATTTCTGTAAGGGTTGCGAGAGCTCTAATATACATGTTTAATTTACCGAATCGTTTAACGAACGATTAAGCGTTAAATATTGAAAGATTTAGCGATTGCGGGGAAAAATTATTTCTTTGAGAACAAATCGATCACGGAGCCTATCAATAAGTTTAGGATGGGCAGACATACACGCGGATAAAATTTTATAGCTTCAGTGCTTTATAGCTTCGTACTTAAATTCTCTGATGTTGGTTCGCGTTTAGATTCCGAGATCGCGTGCCGTCATCGAGATCGAAAGTGAGAGTTACAGTTTTTGTTTATCGAGAGATCGAGGAAAGTGTCGTTGTGGAGGATATTTCGCGCGGCAGTAAACTTTCGATTTGGATCTCGCAAACGCTCGTCATTATCCCGCGCACGCGCCCGTGCACGTTCCACGACGTCTCGCTTCGGGATAAGCGGCTGCGAAGGCTGTAAAACACGCTTCGGTCCGCACGCGATTAACGGCGTCGCGCCTCGCCTCGCCGGACGTCCCGGGCGCGAAATTCACTTTCCGCTCGTAAAATCCAACAATCCGGATCCGGTCCGGATCCTCGCGCGACGACAAGGGCCGCCCACGTCGAGAGAGCGCATTACCGCATCACTTACAGATGGCCCGCTGCGGCTGCTGCTAGATCGTTGAATGGAATGAAACTGACGGTTCGGGAAAGCTCGAGCTTCCCGGAATGTCTCTTCTTAAAAGTGAAACTTTACTAATTCTTGTAAAACAATATAATTTCCCAGCGAGTTCTGCTTTGACTAAATATTTTTCTCGTACTGTAAATCACAGCACATTTGCTGGAAATAATTTGAACGTTCGATAATTATGTTGCGAATTTGACGTCTTACGAGCTTTTGAATTTTCCTTCGAAATTGTATTGTCCCCCTTTTCTAAGATCATCGTATTTTCATTTCTATATATCTTATTTCGTTTCTGCATGCATCCCTGAAATCTTTTGAAACTGAGTCCCTTGAGATTTTGTTCAGAGCCTTCTAATTCGCGGCTCTTTCGATTGTGTCCTCTATATCCTATCCTGAGAGATGAAGTATACAAATTTACGTGCGCTTAGGCATTTGCGTCTAAAAAAAATAAAACGATTTTTTAATTCCGAGAAACACGAAGGTGGAGATATTGATTTTTTATTTTTATTTGATAAAGCTACGTAGATTAAAGAGTGTTAGATAAATCATGGTAATTTATCTACTCGTAAGATCTTATTAATTTGTAGTTACGGGTTACGGCACGTATTGTGCAACACGTTTAGTCGAGTCGGAACATAATAGCGCATGTGAATAGAAGAATTATATATTCACCGTATGATTATATGTGCGGCCGATCGAAATACCATTTCTGTCGAAGTGCAATAAGGTGGTAAATATGACACGTGCGGGTCTTATATAATCCTGTTATCCCGTTACCTGCATGCACTTTCTTCGGCTTTGCATTATCAGTTTCTTTTCAGTTCCGCGTATGAAGTATGAATGGCGACAAAAGAGCGTTTCGCGAAGCACAATGCATGCCACTTTTCAAGATTCTTTTCTCGAGGCATTTGATCGATATCTTTCAGTTTTCGAGATTCTGCTAACATTTATCAAAATCCAGACCTGCTAGGTAGACAATATTAATTTTAATTTATTTTAACTAATGGACATATTGTAATAAAAATTTATATACTTAATTGCGTGATATAGATAATATTATTATTCTTTAAATCATGCAAACATAAATAATTAATATGTATTGTGTTTGATTTTTTCTACTCGTTGGTATTTAAGAAAAGCTTATCGACAGCCTAAATAAAGGGCGGAAGTTCTGGCGTCAATTGGGACTTTCATTTACGCTCATAAGAAATTTTTATCTCTAAAAGCATACGACGCATCTTTGGTGGACCTCATATTTCCGATTCTGTATAAGTATTAAGCTAACTTATATAGCAATCTGTTTCGTAAATTGAATCGGGATCAGTGATATTTCCCATGCGAGGCTGACGATGCGCGACGCGTAAGTAGTCGCGTAACGGGCTTCCGATTGTCATGCACAACGTCATCCTTCTGTGCATCATGCTTCGATGAACTTGATTCAAACGCTGTTCGATGAAAATACGCGAATACCCGCAGCGGAATCGAAGCGCCATAAATAAAAAATGACGTACGTTAGTAATTTACGTGATGTATAGGCGCAGCACGTGATGTGGAACAATCAATCAACTTTTTATCAGTTAAATAAGTTATATCGCGTGCTTTATATGGTGGAAATTGGTGTCGCTGAAACACGAAGTTTCAACTTGGATTTTATAAAAGTAGTGGACAAAAAATTTGTCGCGTTTTTCACTAAAAGTATTATATTACTTTTACTACTAGCTATTAATGTAGACACGATGACGTGAAATATCGCAGCTATCATATGAAGTAATTTGTAATCTCCGAGAAAGTTCCTGCAGCGTGTGATTTGAATATATTTTAGAGCACTCGAGAAAGATATATAAAAAGATGAGCTATATACTTTCCGTCATTCATCGTCAATGATTACGTGCGCTCGTATCTAATTGTTAAGGCTCGAATACTCGCTTATCTCGGTGCTGCACACTTATATCTACTCTAATGATGCGTTGCATACTGTATATTATACGTACGCGTTGCCGGCTTATCTCGTGCTTTCAAAAATTCGGATCAATGCACCGTCGCGGCGAGTCAATGACTCTGCGAATAAATAAACAGAGTAGAATAACATCCGAGTGTGAATAACCGGCTAAGAAATGTCTCTGACAATATCCAATTTTTTTTTTTTTTCAATAAACGGAAATAGCGTTTTCTTCTCTGTACTTTTATTGAGAATTTTTTCATAACGTCGCGTCGTCACGAAGAAAGAGAAGAATTAATTAACCTAACGATAAAGTTGATAAATTTAATTTAATTTGGATATCTTTATCGAGCGGGTGTAACTTGTGTGTGAGAGATTATTTAATTAAATATCGTGTGACCTCTTCCTAATGGTACCTGTCACCGGATTTCCATAAAATTGCGTGTGCAGCCCGCGCGATGATGCACGCGAACGAAACGTTCGCTTACTTTCGCGACCTCGTTTCGCGACTCGATCGAACATTTCATCGGACGGCTCGAAATAAATTTGCTTATTTTTTTTCCGTACGAATGTAACGCGAGAAACACATCTGACATTTCGCACTCGCGATTTTCACGAGGAATTTGCAAGTACGTCGCAATGCTCCAATTAGTTACGTTCGCACGTGTATTTCTGTCAATCCTTGTCTACAAAAAATTAATATTAATACATCTATATGTGGATATTATTAATCTTGTTTTTAATTAATATTACGTCATAATATTTTCATCGATATAAACGATAAAATTCGAAAATCTATATTTAAATACATCGATCGAATAGCATTATTTTAGCTTTTCAATTTGACTGGCGATTTCATATCTGGACGATTACGTAGAAATGACATGTATATTAATCTATTGGCCCGTGGTATCTTGAACAAACAATGATAAGTAACGAACGACACGTGTATCTAGCGTACTGTCGAATCGTATTTGGACTCTGTTGGAACGAGGAGCGAATTTTTTTAAGCGCCTATCGAAGAAAATCGCGACGCGAACATCCGACAGCAAACGGATTCTCGTGGCGCGATTCCTTAGCGTGAAGCTGCGATTTCGACACGGTACGATTTTTATCTGAAAACGCGTTGCGTCCACTCCCGCAAAGGGAACGGAAGTAGAACGAACACGCAAGACGAACATCACGCTAAATGTCCTCGTAATCATTTCTTCAACCCTTTTTCTAATTTTTTTTTATTTATCTGTAACAATCTATATTTATTAATATTAATGAATATCAGAAATTATTTGATTGTTAACCGTTGCCTTCTAAATGTAGATATAACGAAAGGGTTAAAACCCTCGACTCGGATCAATTGGAACGGAAACGTACTGTTTGTTTCACCTTGAGCTACCATTCTATTCGCGCGCGGCTCCCTTATCTCATTAACGCGGCTATATCGACGAAGCCCTACAAAAATATATAGAACCTCTCTTTGATACTCACGTACTGAGGAAGCATCTCAGTCGCGATACCACGACGATGTGCGAGCAGGGCAGCTCGGTGAGAGCGAGAATAGCGTTATTGGAGGGTGAATACTTCTTAAACACAGGCTACACTTTTGCCAATCTTGGGAATAATCGTGTGCGTCGGTCGAGTCGTTGTTCTGTCAGAAAGAAAACAATTCACAAAATATCGCTTCATCTAATCTTCAATTATATAGATAGATTAACGCAGAAGTCTTTGCCTCTCTTCGATCATTCCAAGACGTCGAAAAATGTTCTTTAATTAAAATTTTGTAACGTGACATAGTTAAATTAACGCTGCAATTTTATAGTGAGGTTCAAAAACCGAGTGAAATTGCTCGACTTTATTCACGCGATTATTTCTGTTATAAACGAAATTTAGTAACAAGTCTATAGTTCACTTTTCCAATAGCTCGAGAAAGTTGAACATTATTTATTCAATTTATAATATAATGTTAGAGTCGATTTCAAGGTTTGTTCTCTCGGGTTCTTGAAAAAGTGAAACAATTTCTTGTGCGAAGATTGAAGATTTACTAGAGTATCCTCGATATCTCGATGTTTGTCATTTTCACGCAAATACGATATGCCGCTTGAGTCTTGAATTCAAAGGGATTGTGATGTTTTTTTAGGAAGAAAAATGGCACCGGTTCTGGGCGTACCGCCTCCGCCACCACCGGCTCCTCACATGGGACCAGACGGCCTGATCTTGCCGAGAAAACCATACAATCCTTGCCTTATCTCCACTAATCATAAGGATCTTCACAGGGAGTTACTTTTCAATCAGAAAATGTAAGTTGAATTGCTTCTTCGTTAAAACGCGAAATTACTTCGGGAAAATAATATTTTTACAATGTGCGTCTAGTAGAGATAAATTATAGTTTCTTTAAGTTTGATAAACAATTCTTTATTTGATCTAAATATAACAACACAAAACGACTAGAAACTAGAAATTTAAACTAAAAACACTTCATCTTGCTGTTCCTCTTCTGCCAGAATTAATCTCTCGCAGGATGTTTTAAATTTCTTTTCTTAAGATTTTTTTATATAAAAAATTTTCTCTTAATAAGTTCATTATCTAAAGTTTCTCCGAATGTTTTTATAATTTCATTAATTCTCCAACGCTGAGTTCTTTACGGCGAGAGGTTCTTCGTTCACCAGGCAGACCAGTTTCTTTTATCCGGTCTGCGGTGAGGCCGGAATTTCGAATGAGCGATTCCTCCCTAAAGTAAATATTTTATACCGCTTCTCCGCCGCTCCGCGCGCGCATTCGGAATTTAATTAATACATTAATTAATACACCGCGAGGGAGATAATATTCGCGATGAAAATGGAAAGCCGATTAGAGCCACGTGTAAAAACTTCCTGATGAAAGCTGGCACTTCTGTGCAACGAATTTTTTTTTTATCGCGCGCGCGAATCCGAGCGTGATCGAGTATCAGAATTGAGTATCGCGCGGACTATATCCGAGTTTTGCGCCTCGTGTAATATTATTTCTCGCGCGATTACGTATACTTACTTTCGATCGCGGTCAATCGAGATAGAATCAAAATATGTTTTTTCACGTTAATTCCCCTGTTTACGTCTAATCAGTACGCGACCGCGCGCTCGACACACCTGCGATTCGTTCACGCTTCGATGGAATTAAACGGTTCACGCTTACCGACTTTTACCTTGGCACGTAATTCACGCCAATTCGCGTGGTGTTTTTTTTTTTTCACTTGCGATCGAGACAACGTAATCTTACGGCGCGTTCCTATCTCGTTCGCAAAATCTGCGTATTCTTATTTCTACGCACGTAAAAATCTTTATGTATTTTTGTTTACTCAAGAACTTATAAAATTTTTATTTCGTATATTCGATTTTCTTTTCGATATTGACGTTTATCTGAAACGTTTCAATTCTTATATTCGTTGGAGATCAATGTTATATAATTGTAGTAGCGAAAGCTGCGATTTTTTTTTAATGAGGAAAGATTACCTCATTAAATACACGCTTCTCTGTCTTTCTGCAGTGGCAAGAACGTCTTGAACCAGAAGAGCGAGCTGCAACGTGCCCTGGAGAAGCAAAGGGAAGCCGCGTCGAGAAGAGAGGCTGAGAGGATCCGTGAGGAAAGTTACAAGGACGATCCCAGGACTGCCTTGCAAAGGGCGATCGAGCAGAGAGCGAGACACATTCAACTGACGGTAATCTGAGATAACGCCCAATTAGCCGATCTTTAAAATTATATCCTTGGGTTTCAGATCCTGAAACCCGAGCCCTTCCATCTTCAAAATCCTCGAAAGAGACTGTTCAGTTTTTGAATCTCCGCATTCTAGGAGAAACCGTTCAAGCATAATCCTAATCCTCGAAGATCATCGATCGTTCGACGTCTTAGCTCTCTTCTAGAATCCTTAAACTCTGAGATCTTTGGATCGCCAGATATCTGTGATTACGAGTTCCGTTCTATCGCAAAATTGCAGAAGACGTTCGCGTGTAAATATAACAATGTAGTTCGTTTTTTTGTTCCTGTATTCTTGAGACTCGCGATTGAGCCGTGCAAAACTAAATTATCAGATTAAACTCTGCACCTTTCTGACCTAGAAATCTAAATCTTCTGATCTAAAATCAACTGGTTTCTTTAAAAGAGTTGGATTTTTTTTGCAGCAGGGGCAATCGCGGTCGATGACGGAGCCGCCGAGCAACCTCCTGATAACAGCGAGGGCGAAGCTGAGGCCCCGCACCGAGTCCCAGTGAAGCCGGTGAAGATCGAAGGTCGCGCAACCCGCGAAGCGATGTCGCGCCCGGGGTGAAGAGAACGATCCGCTCGGGCGGCTCATAATTTCACCCTTGGCCACCTTATCGATTGCAATCAGTGTACATACGCATAACCCGATAAGATTTCCTTGGCACGAACATTTATTAGCGGCGTCACTTGGCGCGTCGAGAGGCGTGTGTCGCT